CCTCCTCCATCTTCCTCTCTCCTCCTCCTCACCCTCCTCCATCTTCCTCCCTCTTCACCCTCTTCCAGCTTTCTCCTGCCTCGCACTCTCCTCCAGATTCCTCCCTCCTCCCACTCACCCTCCTCCAATTTTCTCCAGTCTTCTCTCTTTCAGCTGCATCTGACCCACCCTTCTCCTGCCTTCTTTCCTCAGGAGCCTCCCTGTTCCATTTCCCTTTTTTGCCCAGTGCCATCCTTTCCTTCATCACCTCCTATTTCTTGTCTCTCCTTTCAGCACACCGTAGGCACTCAGTAAGGGCCCCAACATACTCATTACACAATTGCATCATAGCCCTGACCTGCGAAGACCTTCCTGTGGTCCCAGTAAACAGAGGTTAAAGGGGCAGTAAGGATGCCGCCATTCATATGACATGCCACACGTAATGTAGGGTTACCCTGACGCCCGAGTCCACGTGCTCTGGTCATGGATGGATAGTGTGAAGAGCTGCTGGACTCTGATAGAGTCCTGCTGTCAGAGCTGAACCTGCCAAGGAACGACCTTGCAGCCAAGGTCAGACCTGTAGCATCGATGTGTGTGGGGGTGGGGTGGGCACAGATGAAGATCTGAAGCCAGGTTTCCTGTCCAGCCAGTCCTCGTCCGGCCCTCCTCCAGCAGGGCAGGTTAACCTGCGTATTGAAAGTGCTGCCTGCCCATTTCATAGGCCACCTCTAGGGTTCGGGGACCATCCCTTACCCCTGAACAGCACTGTGCTCTGTCCCTGCCCAGCACCAAAGCCCAGACATGTGGGGCCCTCTCAGGAGCGCTCTGGACCAGATGATTTTCTGCAAGAGCCAGTCAGCGGAAGCTTTTGGACCTTCAGTCAGGAGCTCCTGCCCTGAAGTCTCAGACATCTTGAAACTCAACCCTGTGGTAGAAGGACTGTTGTGGCCATGAGTGTAGCCTCGGTGGAGGCCTCAAGGAGCTGAGCTCTCTGGAGTGGAGGCTTCATGAGGTGGCCTCTTACACCTATGGGTGATCCCAGCCCAAAGGAACCACCCGGTGTGGGTGCTAGGAAGCTGGCCTTTCTTTCTTGAGTCTACATGCCCTTGGCTTCCAAGTGTCCCTGGCCCAGGGTTCCAGGACAGGGTGGGCTGGGCCCCCATTTATGGGTCAACCTCAGAATCTCTGTGGCGTCCCCTAGACTGAATAGGCCTGTGCTAAGAGGCATGAATCCTGACCCTCCTATCATGAAGTGTCAAGGACCCAACTTGCCAGGGACTACTAGAAGGTGGGTCTCTGCTGGAGGTTGGTTACCCCATGCTAATGTACTTATTGGTCTCAGAGGTGTCCGGGTGTCCAGCGCAGGTGTCCTCCCCTGGAAAGGCTGAGGAGATCAAGGCTCAGGAGTGTGAACAGGCGGCTGTCTTTCGGCTTTCCTTCCCTGCGACTCTGCATTACAACTGTGGAACCCCGCCCCAGGGTGGGGGACACCTGGATGACCTCCAGCCTACAGCCTTGAGATTTGGTGGTCCCTCCCAGCCAGAGCACCCCTCTCCAGCTGGGACACCCCAGTCAGGCTTTGCGATACTTTTGAGCCACGTTCTCAGCCCTGGGGTTCCGGGATCCCAGCTTTGGAGATCCAGTATCGAGACATCAGCTTGTCCTGAGACCCCTCCCAGCCCCGAAGCCCCGCCCCTTCAGCCCGGGTCAGGGTGGCAAACACACCCCTCAGGGCCTCCGCCCTCTCCTGTCCCCCCCGCCTCTGCACTTTCTCTTCTTGCTGCGCCCTCCCTCCGCCCCGCCTCCGCCTCGCCCGGGCCCTCTCTTCAAGCCCAGCCCTTTCCCTGGGACGGGCAGTCTCCACGGCCATGTGATCCTGGGGCTGTGGGGACCCGTCGGGACAGCTAGGACAAGCGGGGGTCGCGAGCGTCCCTGGGAGGGGGCGGCATGGAGCGGAGGTGGGTCTTCGTGCTGCTGGACGTGCTGTGCGTGCTGGTCGGTAAGAGTCTCGGGACCCGGGTGCGGGGACCCTCCCGGGTGCAGGCTCATACGGTCGCTCTGGCTGGTGTGCGTTGGGGATGCGGACGGCGGTGACCTGTGCTCCCCACTTCCTTGTGCGCGCCCCGCCAGCCCTCCTGGGCGCCTGGCGGGCTCGGGGCTGCCTGTCTGCTTGGGGCTGTTCCCGGGTGGTGGGTCCTGGCAGCAGGAAGTCGCTCGGGTGCCGCGGGGCGGTGTGACTCACCCGGGCGGGGCGGCACCAGGACCCTGCAGGCCAATGACCCGTGGCCAAGGTCCAGCACGGTGCCCCCGGGAGGCGGGGACGGCTGGGCTCACACAGACAAACCTGCCAGTCCGGTTCAGGCCACGGGGAGGAGCATCCTGAACCCCCTAGGCGCGAACAAAGGCCAAGTGTTTGTTGGGACCCAGGGGACAGTGGCTAGATTCTACCCCGAAGGCGGTGGCGGGGTGTCGTCTGACCTCCCCCGTTCTGCATCTTCCTCTCCCTTCCATGTCCCGGAAGGATACTGCGTTTAGCTGCAGCCGGTTGGCGGCAGGAGGCTCTGTGGGACATTCCCCCAGCCATGGGCACCCTTTTTAAGTGTCTGGATTTACTGAGGCATTTCTGTTGCTTCAACTGTGTGCCAGGCACCCCAGGACTTGAGAATAGTTTACTTTTTTTCCCCCCTCGGGAAGTCCTGGGTCCCTAGAGGCGGTGCTACCTGGGGTGTCCCAGCAGCTGGAAGAGGCCAAGGCAGCCTGTTCTTGCCCTTGGTCTGAGCATCTCAACACCGGAGTCCACACAGACTTCGGGTGGCGATAGGGAAGTCCTCCTCCTGAAGGAAGGAGGCCCTTGCCTGTTGCTCGGAACAAAGTCCTCTACAGACACTTACTGAAGGTGGAAGGAAAGGAGGGGACACAGCTGGGAGGTACGCTTGCCATGCAGCCCAGCCATGCTCAGGACTTTAGGTCCTTCCAGACCGTGCAAGCTTCCCTGTGGCGGTGATCTGCCTGGGATGTCCTCTAGGCAGACTCACCTGCCTTCTGTGTTGGTATCCCCAGATTTTTACCTCCTCCTGTTTCCTCTGACCCTCTCTCCCACTTTCATTCCCTCCACTCTTTTCTGACCTTCTCTCCTCTCTGACCCTCTCCTTTCCTCTCTCTTCACCTCCTCTCCTCTCCCCTTCTCTTTCCCTCTTTCCTTTCTCTGACTTTCTCTAACCCTCTCCCCTTCTCCCTTTCTCCCCTCCCCTTCTCTTATCCTCTTTCCTCTCTTCCTCTCCCCTCCTCTCACATTCTCCCCTCTTCTCCCCCTCTCCCCTGCTTTCACCCTCTCTCTTGTTCTATGACCATCTCGCCTTCCCCTCTGACCTCTTCTCCTTCAAGACAGTCTCTCACTGTTATGAAGCTGCCCCCTCCCAGGGGGCTCTGCTGCTGTCCCCCTTACTTTTAGCCCCACCTCTCAGCTTCATGATGTTAGCACTTTCCTGGCCCATGTCCCCTCTGTGCTGGACCCATGTCAAGGACTGTATTCTGGGCCCCTCTGTGTCCCCTCTGGGCCGAGCCCAGGTCAGGGATTGTGTTCTGGGCCCCTGCATTTCCCCTCTGCATGTTGAGGGAAGGCTGATCTCCTTGTGCATTTCCCGACTTGAAAGCCACACCCTCCACGCCCAGCTTCAAGCTCATGATCAAAGGGCATTTGCCCAGGTTTGCCTTTTCGGAGTGTCTGTGTTCCTGTGCCTTCAGAACAAGGTGTTCCCCTCCGTCCTGTCCTTGTGACTGCCTCCCACCTCTCAGCCACCCTTGGTTGGAGGCTTTGGTCTGAGCTTCCTGCCTCCAGGGTTGGGTCCATCTTGTCCAGTGTGTAGTGACATTAGCTCAGAACTATGAATGAAGGTATATAAAGAAGCTCAAGGGATGGCCCTCTGGCTGTGCCCTGGCTGTGAGCTGCACAGCCTCATGGCCAGCAGCCTTGCTTTGGGCTGCTGGATGGTCTGACCGCCCACGCCTGCCGTGAGCAGCCTCCATGTCCCATGCTGAGCACAGCAGGCCCCTTGGTGTGCAGATGGAGCAGCCCAGCCAGCTCTCTCCAGGTGACCATGTGGCTCTATAGGGGACACTCCATGGCTGGCTCATCAGGAGGGGGCCGGAGTGCGGTGGGAGGGAGCCGGCTTACTTGTAGGATGTGTGCAAAGGCCCTAGTTGCTGATGAGTCAGCTCTAGAGAGGCCTGAAGGGAGGCTGGACTGGCCCAGGGTAGAGCTGCTCAGTAGTCTGGCTCATTCAAAAAGCCACCAGTGTAGTTTCCGATGGGATTGAGGCAGAGTGGCCGTGATAGCGGCACAGATAACAGGAAGGCAGGGATTTGCAGCGTGGAGAACCACATGCTTTCCCTGGCTCCCCACAGCCTCTTTGCCTTTTGTCATCCTGACCCTGGTGAATGCTCCGTACAAGCGCGGTTTTTACTGCGGAGATGACTCCATCCGGTACCCCTACCGTCCAGACACCATCACTCATGGACTCATGGCCGGGGTCATCATCACAGCCACTGTCATCCTTGTAAGGCAGCAAAGTGCTGGGGGAGGGGGGACTGGGTAAGCCCTGCCCCCCAGCCAGATGGGCGCAGTGGGGGCTGTGCCCGCCTGGTACTCTGCAGCTGTCCCACTGGCAGGTCTCTTCGGGGGAGGCCTACCTGGTGTACACAGACCGTCTCTATTCACGCTCCGACTTCAATAACTACGTGGCTGCCATCTACAAGGTGCTGGGGACCTTCCTGTTCGGGGCCGCTGTGAGCCAGTCCCTGACCGACCTGGCTAAGTACATGATCGGCCGTCTTCGACCCAGCTTCTTGGCCGTCTGTGACCCTGACTGGAGCCGGGTCAACTGCTCTGGCTACGTGCAGCTGGAGGTGTGCAGAGGCAGCCCTGCTAACGTCACCGAGGCCAGGTGGGTACAGGCTGCAGCCCAGGCCAGGCTCCGAGCTACAGGAAGCCTGGGGCCTGCTGGACGGAGACGGCCTGTCAGCGAAGGCAGGCAGGCAGCTCCCTCTGTGTCTTTGGCAGACACTCGAGGGGGCGGTCTCAGGGTTGGTTTGTCTGGGAGGCAGTGGCTAGCCCTGCAGAGGTGGGGTGGCATGTGGCGAGGATCTGCCGTGGCTGAGGGAGCTATTGCGCTGTCTGTCCACCTGGCACCCTGCTCTTCCGAGTGCTGCTGTTCATTCTTAGTGTGGCCTGTATCCTCGCTCCGTAATTTTCCCTGAGTCTCTGTCTCTTGGCCCTGATCAGCCATCAAGCCTTACAGTGCTTCTTCCCCCCTCCCCCCGCTTTCAATATTATTGGTGTTTTCATATCCATAATGCATTTTTAGGTTTTTCAGACAGGATCTCATCATGTAGCCCAGAATGACCCCAAACTTTCCATCCATCTTTTTGCCTCAGTCTCTTGAGTGCTTGGGTGACAGGTCTGTGCCACCACGACCGGCTTAAAGCCAAGTCTTCTTGGCTTCTGTCCCTCCCTTCTGTCTTCATGGATGCCGTCATGAGGGTCTCTTGTCAGCATAGCCATCAGCAGGAATGGATATACATTTCTCTTTTGTCTTCTGGGTGCTGGGGTGGAGCTGGGGCTCTGTCTTATTTGGTCTGCCAAGATTGTGGAGTGGCTCTGGGAGTGTTTGGGGGAAGCCCGGCTCCTCTGGACCTCTAAAGCGTAGGCCTTGGCTGCCGCTCAGGTGTGAAGGCAGCAGAAAGATGCGGTGGTGCTCAGCCCCTCGGAGCAGCAGCTGTCACAGCAGAGCCTGTGCCTGCTCCCCTGGGTGACTGACAGTGTGGTCCTGCTGGCCGTGTCTGCCCCGGGAGCAGGCAAGGGGCTGGTGGTGGTGAAGTGAGAGTGCGGAGGTGAGCTCGTTTCTCCAGGGCCTCCCAGTGGGGTGCAAGCCTTCCCTCAGGTTAAAATTTAATTTTGTAGGGCTGGAGAGATGGCTCAGCGGTCAAGACCCCTGGCCGCTCTTCAGAGGACCAGGGTTAGATTCTCAGAACCGGCAAGGCAAACCCACAACCATTTCTAACTTCTGTTCCAGTGTACCCGATGCCCTCCTCAGGCCTCTGCGGGTACTGCATGCACGTGGTACAAAGCTATATGTATGCAAAACACCCATACACATTAAAAAATCCTAAAGATGATTTATTTTTATTATTTTCAAGTGCATGTGTGTTTGTGTGTGTGCGCACCATGTGAGTAGGGGTCCCCTCGGAGGTCAGAGGCATCAGATTTCCTGGAGATGGGGTTATAGGTAGTTTCGAGCAGTAGGATGTAGGAGGTGGGAACTGAACTCGGGTCCTCTGCAAAAGCAGTCAGGGCTCTTCACTGCCGAGTCCCCTCTCCAGCCCCACTTCCCTTACTTTAAGTTTGCACCCATCTGTGGCTGCTAGCTCCCCAAGCAGCTCCTGGCTCTGCCTTCCGGGTCCCACTAACTGGCTGCCCTCCCTCCCAGGCTGTCCTTCTACTCCGGGCACTCCTCCTTTGGCATGTACTGCATGGTGTTCCTGGCGGTGAGTGTCCACCCTCCTCCCAGGGAACCTTACGGGGCCACCCCTCCCCTGGGCACTGCACAATGGAGTGTTTGGAGGGGGCACTGAGGGTAGGGCTGGGCTGGGCGGGCCGTGGACACCACAGGCCCCGCTGATGCAGGCCGATGCCGTGACAGCTCTACGTGCAGGCCCGGCTCTGCTGGAAGTGGGCACGGCTGCTGAGGCCCACTGTTCAGTTCTTCTTGGTGGCCTTTGCGATCTATGTGGGCTATACTCGTGTGTCCGACCACAAGCACCACTGGAGTGACGTCCTCGTCGGCCTCCTGCAGGGAGCCCTGGTGGCCTGTCTCACGGTGAGCCTGGCCCCAGTGTTCCATGACCCCTGCCTGCTGGTCTGCCCTCAAGAGCCTGCCCCTCACCGCTGGTCCCGCCCATCCCCTTTACAACTCCTTCCTCTGGGGCTCCCCTCTGGTCTTCTTCCTCCAGCCCCACTCACTGCCTTGCCTTCCCTCCCCCAGGTCCGCTATGTTTCAGACTTCTTCAAATCGCGCCCGCCCCAGCCCTGCCAGGATGATGAGGAGCCAGAGCGCAAGCCCAGTCTGTCACTAACGCTGACCCTCGGTGACCGACCCTAGCTGCTATGAGTCTCTTCCTGCTCTGGAAGCCAGGAAGCCACCTGTGGGCCAGTCATGTCTTGGCCTCTTGGCCCTGATGAGGCAGCTGCTCTGGGGTCCCGGCTGGTAACCGTGGACCAGGGTCTTGGGTGCCTGGCTGGCCCTGAGCGCGGGCAGAACCCATTCTCAGCCTTCCTTGAGTGTCCCATGGCCTCAAAAGATGCGGTCGTGCTCTGAGCACTGCCTCCCATCACCAAGTGGCTTTCGAGGAGGGCCACCCCTTCACGGCCCCAGGAATGGACTGATCTGAGACTGTTCTTCATGAAGCCTGCACATGAAGGCCCTGCAGGTGATGAACACCTTGTTTCCCTGGGTGGGGCAGTTGGCCTTAGCCCTGGGCAGGGATCACAGATGTGAAGAGGGCTAGGAGCCCCTGCCTGCCTGGGAGCCCAGGTTGCCTGAAGGGTCCCAGGTGGCTTTTGGCTTGAATCCTGTTCTCAAGCTGAAGGAAGATTCCTGTCCGAAGCCTCCAAGGCCCCCTCCCTCAAGCTTGATGTCCAGTCCTGCCCCCACTGCCCATGTGGGCTAAACGCTTAGCCAGGCTTTGGAAGTGGGTCCTGGGTCTGCCATCCCCATCTGTTTCAAAACACTTAAAGTTACTGTTTCGCAGGAGTGTGAGTTATAAACGTGTACCAACCGTCTCGGCCATGAGTGTTGATTTTTAAGCTCTTCTGGAGTGATAGATGATGCTGCTCCACCTACCATGCCCCCCAGTGCCCTGTGCTGGCAATGCCAGTCTTAGCAGAGACTTGATGGACGGATACTGGCCTGGGTGTCTGTATACGGGCCAAGCCAGGGGCCTCAGAGCTACTGTGGCCTTCCTCCGTGTGCGGTGGGTGCTTATCTTAGGTACATCCTGGGACACAGACTTCACAGTCCGTGTGAGATACCTCAGGATGCTCCCAGGGTGCCTGAGCAGTCTCCCAGGGGCAGCAGGAGGGGTGACAGGTCTTGCTATAGCCTAGAACAATGTGTGTGGCCTTCTGGGAACTGGCTGTCTGTCTCCTTCTGCACTCTTCAGGCCTTCGGACCTGGGAGCATGGGGGATGGTCACAAGAACCTCCCCCACCAATCTCCCTCCTCTCCCTAGAGACTGGGTCAGGGTTGGGTCACCAGGATCTCGGATGCCAGCCACCAGGATCTCTGCAGACAGCCCATGGAGTTCACGCCAACCCAGAGAGCATGCTGAGGGCCTCTGCACCTGGTCGCTGGTGTTCAGCCACTGACACAGCCTGCATTTCATGGGGACCACCCTGTTAAGTGACTCCCTGCCAGCATCCTCCAGCCAATATCCTGTGTACCAGGGCTGTTCTGTTAGAGGCAGAAGGTCCTGGCGAGGAGGTGAGCTCATGTCCCGAGCACAGCAGGGTTCTGCCTGTATACATCCTCCGCTCGGCCAGACTGCAGCTGAGCTCTCCCAGGCATCCATGCCTGCCTGTCAGACTGAGTGCTGGGTGCTGGGTGCCGGCGAGGACAGAGACGGTGGGTATGGGGCACACACCTGTGTGTGCTAGGGGAGACTGGGGTAGGAGGACACTGCGTGTGAGACCAGCCTGAGCTACCATGACTCTTCTGTGCCGGTCTGTGAATGTTCATGTGTGTGTATACATGTGGAGGTCAGAGGGCAACCTAAAGTGTCAATTCTTTATCTGCCGACTTCCCACTTCTCCCAGGCCCCTAGAGCAGTGGTTCTCAGCACGTGGGCTGCAACTGCCACAGGAGTCACAGGCCAGACATCCTGCACATCAGATATCTACGTTACGATTCATAACGGTAGCAAAATTACAGTTATGAAGTAGCAATGAATAATTTTATGGTTGGGTCACTGCAGCATGAGAAACTGTGTTAAAGGGTCACAGCAGCAACGGGAAGGTTGGGCATCGCTGCTCTAGGGAGAGACCAGTTATTCACAAAGTGACGCAGGGGCTGGAGAGGTGGCACCGTGGCTAGAGTGGTTTTGGCAACCCACGACTGCCTGTAACTCCATCCTCAGTGGTACCTGATGCCCTCTTCTGGCCACCATAGGCACTGCACATGTGTGCACATACCTCACCCCAAACCCAAACACTTGTGGTAAAATCTTTTCTTTATTCCTTTTATTGAAAACATTTTTTTTTTTCCTCACGACATAGCTTATGTCTGCCCCCTGACTCCTCCTAGTTTCTCCTCCCTTTTCTCCTCCCTTAGAACAGGCTTCTAAGGGATAATAATAAAATAAAACAAAACAAAACAAAATAAAATAAAATAATATAAAACAAAAACTAACATGTCAGAGTTGGATAAGTCAAATAGAAGGAAAAGAGGCCAGGAGAAGGCACAGTAATCAGAGACCCACCCATTTGCACACTTAGGAATCTATCTCCAAAACAAAACAAAAAACCCAAAACAACAACAACAACACAACACCTCACTAACCTGGAAGGCACAATGCATATGCAGGGGGCCCTGCTGCAGACCCCTGCATGCCGTGCGCAGTTTCACAGGGTCCCATAGATTAACTGTTGATTTGGTGCCTGTGCTAACAGTTGTCCTAGGGTTTCTACTCTTCCATGAAACACCATGACCAAAAAGCAAATTTGGGAGGGAAGGGTTTATCTGCCTTACCCTTATGCGGCACTGTTCACCATTGAAGGCAGTCAGGACAGGAACTCAAACAGGGCAGGAACCTGGAGGCAGGAGCTGATGGAGAGGCTGTGGGGTGCTGCTTACTGGTTTGCTCATCATGGCTTACTTAGCCTGTTTTCTTATAGAACTCAGGACCACCAGCTGAGGATTGGCACCACCACAGTGGGCTGGACCCTCCCCCATCAATCGCTAATTAAGGAAATGCCTTACAGGCTTGCCTACAGCCCAGCCTTACAGAGGCGTTTTTCTCAGCTGAGGCTCCTCCTCTCAGATGACTAGCTTGTGTCAAGTGGACCTGAGACTAGCCAGAACAACAATGTTCTGCTCAGCAAGTTGTCTCCTGTGCCAATCAGTTCAAGGCTGTCCCTCACTCTCTCTCCTGTCAGGTTCAGGATCTCTGGTTTTGCACTGAGGCCTTTGATCTATTTGGACTTGAGTTTTCTGCAGCGTGATAAATAGAGATCTGGCTGCACTCTACGATACAAGCATCCACTGTGACCAGCACCATTTGCTGAAGATGCTGACTTTTCTTTCCTCTGGCTTCTTCATCAGGTGTCCACAGGTGTGTGACTTTATGTTTGGTCTTCAGTTGGATGCCATTGATCAATGTGCCAGTTTTTGTGTTAATGCCATATGGTTTTTATTACTAATTGCTCTGTAGGGCAGTTCGAAATCAGGGATGGTGATACTTTCAGCAGTCCTTTTATTGTTCAGGATTGTTTCAGATATCCTGTTTGTTCTTTTTCCAGATGAAGCTGAGGATTGTCCTTTCAAGCTTTGTAAAAAACTGTGTTGTAATTTTGATGGAGTTGCACTGAATCTTTAGATAGCTTTTGGTAAGAGGGCCATTTTGACTAAGTTACTACTACGGATCTTGAACATGGGAGATCTTTCCATCTGATATTTTCTGTAATGCATTTCTTCTAAGGCTTGATGTTATTGTCACACAAGTCTTTCACTTGCTTGGTTAGAGGTACCACAAGATATTTGTGTTTTTTAAAGAAACAAAATTTACAAAATTCTCACTACATTTTTCCATTTCTGTTTTAAGTCATTAATTGTGCTATGTGTAATTGTGCTATGTGGGGAATAATAAACAGACATTTTCTCTTTCTTTCTTTCTTTCATTCATTTTTTTTTTTTTGAAAGAGAGAGAAAGTTTCTCTGTGTAGCCTTGGATGTCCTGGACTTGCTTTGTAGACCAGACAGGCCTCAAACTCACAGAAATCCTCCTGCCTCTGTGTCCCTGAGTGCTGGGATTAAAGGTGTGCACCTATCCATCATAGATATTTTCAATGAAACAAGCCCTTTTGAATTAGTGGCCAGGGTTTTCAGAAGATCTCCTTCTCAGTTCTGATCTTTATCAGTTTTGCTGGTATCCGCAGTTTTCATTTCCTGTGCAGATATAAGCAAACCTTCATTCCTAGTACAGAACTTTTGTAGGCTTTCATTCCGAGCTTAGCACTGCCTTATATTGGATGGGCTCGTTTAACACCGATTTTTAAAGTATGTCCTAATTATTCTATGGATTTCCTTGGTGTATTTTTGTTATGACCTCCTTTTCATTTCTGATTTAGTCAGTTTGGATCTTTTCTGTGTCTTTTATTTAGTTTGGATAAGGGATTATAGATCATGTTGATTTTCTCACAGAACAAAAAAAATTTTTTTTTTGTTTCAATGATTCGTTGTATTGTTCTCTTTGTTTCTAATCTATTGATTTCAGCCTTGAGTTTGATTATATCAAACTCAGGCTTTCAGGTGAGTTGTGAAGTGTGAGCTCTCTCCAGGATTATGTTTTTAAATGTACACCCTTAGTTTTATGATCTTGCTCTTAGCACCACTTTCATTGTGTCTCGTAAGTTTGGGTATGTTGTGTCTTCATTTTCACTGAATTCTAGAAATTCTTTAATTTTTTTATTTCCGTCTTGACCAGTTTTTCATTCAATAGAGAGTTGTTCAGTTTCCACTGAAAGACCCCCGGAGGGTATCTTCCGTCTGAGAGACCCCTGCCCAAGGATCAACGAGACCAGGCGTTCGGATGCAAACAGCAAGAGGCTTTATTGGATACATGGGTACCCGGGGCGACAAAGCCACTCGGAGGACTTGAGCGCCCTCTGGGTGGAAAGCTGGGTTTTTATAGGGTTTTAGAGCAGAAGCGTGGTTACAGAAGCGAGAAGCATGGTTACAGGGGGCTGATTGGTACATTCAAATGAGACCACAATTCGAGTCAGAGTTTGGCAGAGATACCAGGATTCCAGGAACTGGGTGGTCAACACGGTCATGATGACCCCCTTAACGTGGCCCGCCACCTGTTATTTTATTTTTCCCTATCTCTGTTGGAACAGTCTCTGACAGATATCCCATGAGGGTGGTCACAACAAGTTGTTTTTAGCTCAACTGGGGGCAGCCTGACCGCAGATATCCCAAGTGGATGACACAGCTGGGTTTCTTAGTAATTTTCCAGTTCCCCATCCAGCCCACAGAGTTTCTCAAAACAGTAGTGTACCACAAAATGGCGTTAGCTATGTTTAACTTAGGGTGAGGCAGGGGTCTTTCACCACGAATTTGTAAGCTTTCTGTTGTTCTGTTGTTAAAGTCCAGCTTTATTTGTGGTGATCTGATAGGATACAGGAAATTATATCGGTTGCCTTTTATCTGTTGAGACTTGCTCTGTGTCCGAGTATGCAATCAGTTTGTGAGAAAGGCCCATGAGGTGCTGAGGAAAAGTCTTATTCTTTTGTGTTGGTAAATGTTCTGTAAGTACCTGTTTGCTCCAGTATTCTTTGTTTACTTTTTGTCGGGATGACCTATCCGTTAGGAAGAGCCTGGTACTGAAGTGTCTGACTGTAACTGGCTGTTTTAAAGTTGTGTGTTTCAGTTTCTCTCTTAACCTGGCTAGCACCCAAACAAGTGAGACTGTGGTGTTGGCATACCATTTTTTAAAAACTTTTATTTACATTTCTTATATCTTTTTCTCCCTACTCCACCCCAATCCCTTCCAACACCCCAACACCAG